TTGACAGCCCTACTGTGGGGTAGAGTTGACAGACCTACAGTGGGGTAGAGTTGATAGTTACCCCTACTGAGAGGTGAATGTTTACAGTGGAAGGCTGACAGCCCTACTGCTGGGTAAAGTTGACAGCCCTACTGTGTGGTAGAGTTGACAGCCCTACTGTGGGCTAGAGTTGACAGCCCTACTGTGTGGTAGAGTTGACAGCCCTATTGCTTGGTAGAGTTGACAGTTAGCCCTACTGTGAGGTGAAAGTGTAAAGTGGAAGGCTGACAGCCCCACTGCTGGGTAGAGTTGACAGCCCTACTGAGGGGTAGAGTTGACAGCCATACTGTGGGGTAGAGTTGACAGCCATACTGCTGTGTTGAGTTGACAGTTCTACTGTGGGGTAGAGTTGACAGCCCTACTGTGGGGTAGAGTTGACAGCTCTACTGTGGAGTAGAGTTAACAAACCTACTGGGGGGTAGAGTTGACAGCCCTACTGTGGGGTAGAGTTGACAGCCCTACTGCTGGGTAGAGTTGACAGCTCTACTATGGGGTAGAGTTGACAGCCCTACTGATGGGAAGAGTTATCACCCCTACTGTAGGGTAGAGTTGACAGCCATACTGCGGGTTGAAAATTGACACCCATACTATGGGGGAGAGATGACAGCCATACTGTGGGGTAGAGTTGACAGCCCTACTGTGGGGTAGAGTTGACAGCCATACTGTGGGGTAGAGTTGACAGCCCTACTGTTGGGTAGAGTTGACAGCTCTACTGTGGGGTAGAGTTGACAGCCATACTGTGGGGTAGAGTTGACAGCCCTACTGCTGGATATTGTTGACAGCCATTCTGTGTGGTAGAGTTGACAACCCTACTGTGGGGTAGAGGTGACAGCCCTACTGTTGGGTAGAGTTGACAGCCCTACTGTGGGGTAGAGTTGACAGCCCTACTGCTGGGTAGAGTTGACAGCCATACTATGGGGTAGAGTTGACAGCCCTACTGCTGGGAAGAGTTATCACCCCTACTGCTGGGTAGAGTTGACAGTCCTACTGTGGGGTAGAGTTGACAGCCCTACTGTGGGGTAGAGTTGACAGCCATACTGCGGGGTGAAAATTGACACCCATACTATGGGGGAGTGATGACAGCCATGCTGTGGGGAAGAGTTGACAGCCCTACTGTGGGGTAGAGTTGACAGACCTACAGTGGGGTAGAGTTGATAGTTACCCCTACTGTGAGGTGAATGTTTACAGTGGAAGGCTGAGAGCCCTACTGCTGGGTAAAGTTGACAGCCCTACTGTGTGGTAGAGTTGACAGCCCTACTGTGGGCTAGAGTTGACAGCCCTACTGTGTGGTAGAGTTGACAGCCCTATTGCTGGGTAGAGTTGACAGTTAGCCCTACTGTGAGGTGAAAGTGTAAAGTGGAAGGCTGACAGCCCCACTGCTGGGTACAGTTGACAGCCCTACTGTGGGGTAGAGTTGACAGCCCTACAGCTGGGTAGAGTTGACAGCCATACTGTGTGGTAGAGTTGACAGCCATACTGCTGTGTAGAGTTGACAGTTCTACTGTGGGGTAGAGTTGACAGCCCTACTGTGGGGTAGAGTTGACAGCTCTACTGTGGAGTAGAGTTAACAAACCTACTGGGGGGTAGAGTTGACAGCCCTACTGTGGGGTAGAGTTGACAGCCCTACTGTGGGGTAGAGTTGACAGCCCTACTGCTGGGTAGAGTTGACAGCCATACTATGGGGTAGAGTTGACAGCCCTACTGTGGGGTAGAGTTGACAGCCCTACTGTGGGGTAGAGTTGACAGCCCTACTGCTGGGTAGAGTTGACAGCCATACTGTGTGGTAGAGTTGACAGCCATACTGCTGGTTGAAAATTGACACCCATACTATTGGGGAGAGATGACAGCCATACTGTGGGGTAGAGTTGACAGCCCTACTGTGGGGTAGAGTTGACAGCCCTTCAGCTGGGTAGAGTTGACAGCTCTACTGTGGGGTAGAATTGACAACCCTACTGTGGGGTAGAGTTGACAGCCCTACAGCTGGGTACAGTTGACAGCCCTACTGTGGGGTATGGTTGACAGCCCTACTGTGGGGTAGAGTTGACAGCCATACTGCTGTGTAGAGTTAACAGCTCTACTGTGGGGTAGAGTTGACAGCCATACTGCTGTGTAGAGTTGACAGCTCTACTGTGGGGTAGAGTTGACAGCCCTACTGTGGGGTAGAGTTGACAGCCCTACTGTTGGGTAGAGTTGACAGCTCTACTGTGGGGTAGAGTTGACAGCCATACTGTGGGGTAGAGTTGACAGCCCTACTGCTGGATAGAGTTGACAGCCATTCTGTGTGGTAGAGTTGACAACCCTACTGTGGGGTAGAGGTGACAGCCCTACTGTTGGGTAGAGTTGACAGCCCTACTGTGGGGTAGAGTTGACAGCCCTACTGCTGGGTAGAGTTGACAGCCATACTATGGGGTAGAGTTGACAGCCCTACTGTGGGGTAGAGTTGACAGCCATACTGCGGGGTGAAAATTGACACCCATACTATGGGGGAGAGATGACAGCCATACTGTGGGGTAGAGTTGACAGCCCTACTGTGGGGTAGAGTTGACAGCCCTACTCTGGGGTAGAGTTGACAGACCTACAGTTGGGTAGAGTTGATAGTTACCCCTACTGTGAGGTGAATGTTTACAGTGGAAGACTGACAGCCCTACTGCTGAGTAAAGTTGACAGCCCTACTGTGTGGTAGAGTTGACAGCCCTACTGTGGGCTAGAGTTGACAGCCCTACTGTGTGGTAGAGTTGACAGCCCTACTGCTGGGTAGAGTTGACAGTTAGTCCTTCTGTGAGGTGAAAGTGTAAAGTGGAAGGCTGACAGCCCCACTGCTGGGTACAATTGACAGCCCTACTGTGGGGTATGGTTGACAGCCCTACTGTGGGGTAGAGTTGACAGCCCTACAGCTGGGTAGAGTTGACAGCCATACTGTGGTGTAGAGTTGACAGCCATACTGCTGTGTAGAGTTGACAGCCATACTGTGGGGTAGAGTTGACAGCCCTACTGTGGGGTAGAGTTGACAGCCATACTGTGGGGTAGAGTTAACAAACCTACTGTGGGGTAGAGTTGACAGCCCTACTGTGGGGTAGAGTTGACAGCCATACTGCTGTGTAGAGTTGACAGCCCTACTGCTGGGTAGAGTTGACAGCCATTCTGTGGGGTAGAGTTGACAGCCATACTATGTGGTAGAGTTGACAGCCCTACTGTGGGGTAGAGCTGACAGCCCTACTGTGGGGTAGAGTTGACAGCTCTACTGTGGGGTAGAGTTGACAGCCCTACTGTGGGGTAGAGTTGACAGTTAGCCCTACTGTGAGGCAAAAGTTTACAGTCGAAGGTTGACAGCCATACTGTGGGGTTGAGTTGACAGCCCTACTGTGGAGTAGAGTTGACAGACATACGGTGTGGTAGAGTTGACAGCCATACTGCGGGGTGAAAGTTGACAGCCATACTGTGAGGTGAAAGTTTAGAGTGGAAGGCTGACAGCCCTACTGTGGGGTAGGGTTGACTGCCCTACTGTGGGGTAAAGTTGACAGCCCTTCTGTGGAGTAGAGTTGACAGCCCTTCTGTGGGGCAGAGTTGACAGCCCTACTGTGGGGTAGAGTTGGCAGCCCTTCTGTGGGGGTAGAGTTGACAGCCCTTCACTGCAGGGTGAAGCGATGACAGTTAACTGTTCTGTTGGGTGAAGGTTGACATTTAGTCGTACTGCGGAGTTGAAGGGATGACGTTAGCTGTTCTGTTTGGTGAAGGTTGACAATTATTCGTACTGTGGGGTGAAGGGATGACAGTTAACTGTTCTGTTGGGTGAAGGTTGACATTTAGTTGTACTTTGAGGTGATGGGATGACAGTTAACTGTTCTGTTGGGTGAAGGTTGACATTTAGTTGTACTGTGGGGTTGAAGGGATGACGTTCACTGTTCTGTTGGGTGAAGGTTGACATTTAGTCTTACTGCAGGGTGAAGGGATGACGTACACTGTTCTGTTGGGTGAAGGTTGACATTTAGTGGTACTGCGGGGTTGAAGGGACGACAGTTAACTGTTCTGTGTGGTAAAAGTTAATATTTAGCTGTTCTGCGGGGTGAAGGGATGATGGTCAACTGTTCTGTGGGGTGAAGGTTAATATTTAGCCGTACTGCGGGGTGAAAGAATGACAGTTAACTGTTCTGTGGGGTAAAAGTTAATATTTAGCTGTTCTGTGCGGTGAAAGGATGACAGTTAACTGTCGTGTGGGTGAAGGATGTGTCATCGCCTGATGGCTTGTGTTCATGGTACACATGTGGGAGTAACTGAAAGTAATTGGTACGACTTCAAAAGCCCTTTGAATGCTCCAGTTAGCACAAGAAGTTTTCGGACAGTCCTTCACAGTAATGCGTTGGATTTGCGGAGGAAGGTCAGGTTCAATTGTGATCAGTCTTTGATAATGGTCCTTTATCACTCACCCGTTGAATATATCACTGTTTAATAAATCTACAATGTTATTACACATTGTGTAATAAAATCGAGTGAAGCCGAACATACGACGATAGTGGTCTACAGTTATGACGCCACAATATGCTAATACCTCTATCACTATGGAATTAGACCTTGCTTGACTCACGGATAGCTTCGAGTCATCAAGATTGTAGGCATTTTCTATCAATTTATTTTAATTTAAAAAAAAAATATGTTGGAGAGTAATAAACAGAATACTAAACTCGCTTCCATGAAATACCATTTTATTAAACTCGTGAAAGATTTAGTATCAATACCTAATCATTAACTCGTGTAATATAAATGGTATTAAAAGGAAGGTTGTTTAGTATCCTCTATTTAACATATGAAATGCTTTAGACACAATCATACACTGGACTCTTAATTTTAGTATCGATTACTGGGATTTTGTCCCTTTTATGCAGATACAATTGTAGGAAAGTAAGTTATATGTAGATATGTATATCAATGTTGAAATGTTTTAATTTTTGTTTAAACCCATACAGGTTTTCCATCATGCATCGGGTAGAAAAGAGATATTCACGAACGGGTCCGAATTGAAAGTGACTGATTTACCAAAGAACTGGTCGTTCTTCTGTGAGCGCCATTCCGACTGTCAAAGGTCTCGATGCTTCAATTTCACGTCAGGTGAGTCCGCAGAATTCGTACGGAATCACTTTTGGTATTCACATTTTGTCAAAATAACCATGCAAGAAACTTCATTGATGAATATTGCGTCTCTAAATACTCAATTATTTATTCAAATACCAAGTCTTGAGTTTTGCCTTGGATGCAAAAAGAGCTGGAGAATGTTTTGATTTGATGCCAAGATGGTTCCACACGAAATGAGAACGGTGTGGAAAAGATCGTTGCCCTCGATGGCGACAGTTTTTAGTAGATCGAAGCATCGTAAATACAGATCGCAGACTGCTGACAGGGTTGTTACTCTGCACCAGAATTAATAAATAAACTCGGGCCATTCCTTGACATGATTAATATTCAAATGTGAGAATTTCATATTCAACTCATGCGGCAGCAGTGAACAATGTAGTAACCTCGCGATGGAAGTGATATGATTTCTATTTTCGCGTCCACGGATTTAAGCCAAGCAGTGGCATTTTGTACTAAATGCAATTTGTTAAAGTGTGCGTGTTAATGTTAATAATTACAGTATTACCATAGTCAATCCTGGATAGATCCTGCGATTTCACAAGAATATGTGTTGCTTCAGTAAGTGACTGATCTGACCAATACATCTGATACAAATACAGGTGGACCAAAAACCCTCTTTACAGCTCTCGAAAACTGAAAGGTCTATTTTCCAACTACAACAGATGTTGTTAGTGCATATTTGCTGGATACAAATGCCAACGAGTAGTGCACTGTTATTGAGGTTTAGCATATTCTCTGCCGCCCCGATGTGGTGCACTCTTCCAAGAATTTTGTCTCTTTGCATGCGGGAAGGGAAGGAACCTTTTTAGCAGCCGTGTGTCATCAGCAATGAGTGACGATCAGCCTTGAAACTGTCAATGACATCGCCAAGAGAGGCTCTGGAGAGAATGAATAAACCAGACCTAGCACAGATCACGGTGCCACCTAATATACCACTAAACACTCATCTGACATTGCATCGTCCCATATCAATAACTCACACCTTAGCTGGAGATATGCTTACAACCATTGGAGAGCTGGACCTGTAACCCCTCACTGAGACTGGAGACACTTATATAAATTCTCATCGCAAGTGGTATAAAAGGCTTTTAATACCCCAAGTAGCACTAACGGAATCAGCTCTCTGTTTTCAGTTGAGCAAAGGATATCATTAGTCACAAGGAGACAGATTTAGTGATGTGACTGGTTGACAGAGATTCCAAGTGGGATCATGGTCTTATATTCACTTTTCTTTCAATGTTATGACATACATGGTTAATGTTTACCTTGCGTTAATTTTGCAGGGTATTTGCATCCAAGTTTTGCTTGTTCAGAAATAATTTATCACGATATTAAAATTGGTTTGTACACGTCCAGTGACTAAATTGAATGGCTGTAGTAAAATCGCGATATTGTATGCAACAAATGCATTGGCTGGATCGGGTATATATGGTAAACCATTCAAATATTGGTAGTCTTTTTTAAACAAAATACATTCTTTTAAAGCTATATATTCTAAGAAACTTAACAATAGTGTGAATCGAAATATGTCATTTTGACGTACGTGTGCTTTTAAACTCAACTGACTACTGTCGTCCGCCGTCTTATTTTGAGCGCACGGAACTGAGGAACTGCAGGGTATTTGCATCCAAGTTTTGCTTGTTCAGAAATAATTTATCACGATATTAAAATTGGTTTGTACACGTCCAGTGACTAAATTGAATGGCTGTAGTAAAATCGCGATATTGTATGCAACAAATGCATTGGCTGGATCGGGTATATATGGTAAACCATTCAAATATTGGTAGTCTTTTTTAAACAAAATACATTCTTTTAAAGCTATATATTCTAAGAAACTTAACAATAGTGTGAATCGAAATATGTCATTTTGACGTACGTGTGCTTTTAAACTCAACCGACTACTGTCGTCCGCCGTCTTATTTTGAGCGCACGGAACTGAGGAACTGTTTCTTCATACGATGACATCATATTTTGTCTTTAGTGTACTACATCATATTTTGTCTTTAATGTACTACTACTACTACTACTACTACTACTACTACTTCTACTTCTACAGTGCAATTATAGTCTTTAATCAAAGTATTCTTCAATAACAGCTTTTGTTTATTGCTAATACTTATAAGAGGATAACAGACAGTGACGTGCCTAACCGAATCGTTTTCGTTGACATCACCAGTCACAGTAACTATGTTAAACATGATGACAGAGCTTTCACAACTAATACACCTTGTTTTGTACTTCTGCTTTTTCTCACCTGCATCATGAGCGCTTCATCGCCCGACTGACTTTCGAAAGTGTTTTGGAATTGATGTTTCTGTCGATTTGTTGAAATCTTCTTTGCTGTCATTTGACGCATCGGTTTCCACATTTTGCTATAACCCTTACACTGGATATCAGAAACATCTCGTGTTATATTGTTACTCGATGAATATTATGTATCATGTTTTCTACTTCTAAATTTCAAGAAAGGTGGCAAAAATGTGAATGCATTTGATTCCTGATGAATGAATTTTACCAACGATGAAAAAGGATGTGAATTCAGGTGAGATAGTATTTAGAACAAGTTTGACTGGTTTCTCTCGTTTTGTCTCCTATAACATCATCATTGTATACTCTACGACTGACATTTCATGAATTATCTTTTCTGTGCACAGTAATATTGTGTTATGCATTTTGAATGTTCATATTTCCGTACACATCAGCTAATATTACATCATTTCTTGCTTTTGTTTGTTTATTTTTCCTGATGCATACCATACCATTGGAAGTATCATCAAGTGCAGAAGCATTTTCTTTTCTATAAACATTAATAATCAGTGTATTAGATGTGATAAGTATGAGCTACTTTGCATTTTCGAATAACATCTTATTTCTTCTTTTTGCAGATGAGAAAGAAAACAGGGGAAACAGCTCGATCAATATTCCAGGCGCAATCGGAGGTGCAGTTGCAGTTGCAGTGGTTGTCATAGCAATACTAATATCAATAGTATTCTTTAAAACAAGGAATCAGGCAGAATATTCAAACAAGTACGTATGGGTGTTTTTCACAAGAGTTGAATATAATACCGGAAGTAAATTACACAAAATGAATATATATATATATAGTTGTGATCGGTCGCCAGAACCAGGATCAGCTTTGAAAACGTGCTTGCCAGAACTGTTTGGGGACCAGAACCCAAAACCACAAAACACTTCCAGGAGAGAGCCCATAAGTTTAATGTTTCTAAGTCTATGATCAGGTGTCTGCAGACACAAATATGTATGACCGTCCCGGCACAAGGCCCGGGTCAACAACACAAGGCCAAAGTCAAATTATTAGTCGCACCGCAAACGAAAGTTCCAAGTCAATGACCAGATGATAAGAACGTGTTACATCACCTATACGGAGTAACGATATGGGACAGGGTCTCTCTGTCTGCTTGAACTAACTAATGTTAGAAGCAAAACGTTACAAGACTGGTCATGGGTCCTAATCTTTCCCCAGTAGAGAAAGTTAGGACATGATCCGGACACTAGGTAAAAAAGCAATTGTTCAAGGCGCCGCTAGAAAGGTGGACAAGTTTCTATCAACTTGTCATTGGGCAATGACAATGTCACGTCTTTCAAACGAATGCTTGACCGACCATGCGAACATGCTCATTAGTTGCAAAGTTATCTCAAATGTTCATTGTTTAATTACACAATCCTGTCGTATTATTTGTTTGTGCCCGTGCAATACACAAAATCTGTTTCTGGTAATATACATAGTTCTGTCTTTTTTATCCACTGATTATTACTTGATACCTCCACGTACGTAATTCATCGCAACGTTTAAAATATTCCCTAAGTATAAATTTGTGTATGATGATGGTTTAGCTGTATATATGTGTATGGTCTTTGATACTTGCTTCACCGGTTAAAATATAGAAAATCTATTCAAAGTATTTGGGACACCTCTGGCCATTCTATGTTCACTAGCATTAACTTGAATCACTCAAAGACTATTGATAATACATTTGTTTGTTACAGAATTCCGATGGAAGAACTTCCCGATGCAAAAAATGAGCATGGTGAATCCGCTGTCTAATGATTGTACATGAGAGACTGTGTTTGTACCAAACAAAGTGTAAAAACAGTGTTTACATTATCGCTGGGTCAGCGGTCTCTCCATTGGATACACACAACTACTGCCACACATGGAATACCTAATCTCATTGCACCATTACTTGAGGTTTTGAATTGACTTGAATTGCGTTCTCTTTCTATGTAAGCCGTTAACATATCGTCTTTTTAGTGTACCAACTAGAAAACTTGTTTTCGTGTCACTGCATCAGCTGGTGCGGCCTTTATTGGCTACAGGCTTTCAAGTCATTGCTGGGATTATTGCTGGGTATGACATCAGACAACATACGAACACTAACTGCTTGATACAGATTGTGTGGTTTATTGGTGTTACCGGTAGAGCAGGATATGGGTTCTTTTTCGGCGAAAACAAGAGTTTTATCGATTCAGTTATACAGTGCTTTTCACTTGGCAACAGACTGATTTTTTAATAAAAAAACTTGTGTGAGTCAGGGAAACGCTCATAGCAATGGGCGTACCATTTGTGCATCTAGTCAAATGCGTGTGTCATACAGTATACTCAGGGTTACTGCCAATAATTTTGCCTCCCAATATCATATAAGGACTCTCAATACTTATGTATCACTCTGCCCAATGAATCTAACGCAAGGCTGACCCGGCAAGCGATCGACCAGGACGTGCGAGTTAAAACAGCGCGATTTTCCAGTATTGTTCACTATTTTCCCCCGCTCTGTTCAAGTAATGTCCACTGCTTATCCTCGATCTGTTCAAGTAATGCTCACTGCTTTTCTTTGATCTGTTCAAGTAATGCTCACTGCTTTCCTCAGCTATGTTCAAGTAAATTTCACTGCTTTCCCCCGCTATGTTCAAGTAATGTTCACTGCTTTTCCCCGGTATGTTTAAGTAATTTTCAA